ATCAAATGAAGAATAAAGTAATCCAATAAGCATACACATACCAGTCTGATAATTTTTATGAAATAGACCAATTCTTTCAAAAAACTTCTACAATTTACCCAATATTAAATAGATAATTTGAACAGTCCTCTATCTATTAAGGACATTGAATTAATAATTTAAAACCCTCCAATAAAGGAAAGCTCCAGCTTAATGATTTCACTGGAGAAGTTTACCAAATATTTTAAGATGCAATAGCAATGCTAAACAATCTCTTTCAGATGACAGAAGAAAAACAAACACATCCTAATTCATCCTATGACATTAGGATTACCCTGATACCAAAAACAGACAACACTACAAAAGAAAACAAAAGATTCACATCTTTCATGACTATAGGGACAAAAATTCTTAATAAATATTCCCAGAGAATTCAACAAAGTGTAAAAAGAATTTTACAGTGTGTATCATGAGAAGTGAAAACTGTAAAATGATGATGATTAAAATCACAGATCTAAATAAATGGAGAGACAGACTCAATATAGTAAAATATCATTTCTCCCCAGATTGATATAGAGGCTTAACAAAATTCCTACCAGAATCCAAATAAGATTTTTTTGTAGATAGAGACAAGATCATTATAAAATTTATATGAAAAAATAAAGGACCAAAAACAGCTAAAACAATTGGGGGGGATCAAGTAGGAAGACACAATCTACCTTATTTCAAGATTGATCTAGCTATAGTATTCAAAGCTATGTGATAAAAGAATGGGCTAAATACATAACCAGTGGAACATAAATAGAGAACCCAGAAATAGATCCATAAAATATGTCTAACTGGTTATTTTATTTTTATGGAGATGGAACTCTTAAAATGAACCATTTAGAAATGAACAAATCAGTGGCAGTTAATACAGTCACAATGTTGCGAAAGCACTATTATTTGCTCCAAAACATTTTCATCACCCCAAAATAAAATCTCATACCCTTTCAAATCGTTACTCTTCATTCCCTTTCTCCAGTTTACCTAGTCTAGATGTTTATGTTAATGAAATTGTACAGGCACACTATAACACTTTTTATGGCTGAATGATACTCCATTTTATGGATGTCCTACCATTTGTTTGTCTATTCAGCCATTAGTGGGTACTTGAGTTGTTTCCACCTTTTGACTACTGTCAATAGTTCAGCTGTTCATGGGCCAGTATTTTGTGAGTTTCTGTTTTCAGTTCTTTGGGGCATATACCTAGCAGTGCATTGCTAAGTCATATTATCGTTTTATGTTTAACTGTTTTTCATAGTAACTGAATCTTCCTATCAACAACGTAGGAGGTTTCCAGTTATTACGTCTTCATCAACACTTATTTTTCTTTTCTTAAAATAGTTATTATACCCATCCTGGTTGATGTGAAGTGATATTTTGTTATGGTTTTGATTTGTATGTTCATAAGGCAAATATTTGGGCATTTGTATATATTCTCTGGAGAAATGTCTATTTAAATCCCTGGTCCAGGGTTTAATTGAATTGTTTGTTTTTTTTATTGTGGAGTTCTAATTGTTCTGTACTTATCCTAGATATAAATAATTTTCTAATTCTGTAGATTGGCTTTTTATTTTCTTGATAATAGCTTTGGATGCATCAAAAGTTTTTCATTTTGATAAAATCATTTATTTTTTCTTTTGTTACTCATGCTTTGGTGTTACATGTCAGAATCCATTGCCAAGTCCAAGGTCTTGAAGGTTTACTCTTGTTGGGCTGGGGATTTAGCTCAGTGGTTCTGCCCCCTGCCTTGCAAGTGCAAGGTCCCGAGTTTGATCCGTGGTACCCAAAAAAAAGATTTACTTCTGTTTATTTTTCTAAGAATTACTTATTTTAGCACTTATATTCAAGTCACTGATCAATTTTAACTGCAGTTTTGTATTTTATGTGCGGTAAAGAGTCAAGATGATTCATCTATTGTAGATATTCAGTTGTTCCAGCACCACAGGTTGGAGAAACGGTTCTTTCCCTCATTGAATAGTCTTGTCAAAAATAAATTGGCCACAAGTAGATGATTCTGGACTTTGAATTCTATTCCATTGGTCCATATGTCTGTCATTATGCCAGTCCCACGCTGACTTTATTTTTGTAGCTTTGTAGTAAGTTTGAAGTGTAAGTTCTTGTTATTCTTTTTCAAGGTTGTTTTGGCTATTCAGGGACCCTTGCCTTTCAGATGATTTTTGACAAAGGTGTGAAAGCAAGTCAGTAAATGAAAGACAGTATTTTCAGCAAATGGTGCTGGGGCAAATGGACAATTGTAGGAAAAATATGAATCTTGACCTAAGTCCTGAGACTTAGATCTTGTACCAAAATTCATTTAAAATGAAAGATTGAGGGCCGGGGATTTAGCTCAGTGGTTCCACCGCCTGCCTCGCAAGCACAAGGGCCCGAGTTCGATCCCCGGTACCAAAAAAAAAAAAATCCTAATCTAAAATGAATGATTGATTTAAATATAAAATGTAAACTGATTAAGCTTGTTAAAAAATAGGAGAGAATCTTTGGAATCATAGGTGTAGACTTGCTACCCAAAGTGAGATACAAAAATTGGTAAGTTAGACTGCCTCCAAATTTAAGTTTTGCTCTGCAAAAGAATAGTTAAGGGGATTTTAAAAAAACAAACTATTGACCAGAAGAAAACATTTTAAAACTGCATATCCACCAAGAACTAGCATCCAGAATGTATAAAGACTCTCAAGACTGTTTTTGTAAAAAACAAAGAATCCAATTAGAAAATGGTCAAAAGACATGAAGAGATATTTCACCAAAGAGGATACAAATTAGCACCTGACATGATGTTTATCATCACTGGCCATTAGGGAAATGCAAACTAAAATCACAATGAGCTATGAAACCTGAAACAAAAACTAGAAACAACATAAAATGCAATCAGGGCTGCAGAGAAATGGAACCACTTATACATCACTAGTGGGAATGTTAAATGGAACAGCCATTCTGGAAAACAATTTGGGCAATTCTTTTTTTTCTTATTCTTTTTTTTGTGAAGCACTTTTATGCAAAATTGGCCATTTCTTTAAAAAAAAATGAAGCATCCAATTATTGTGCAAACCAGCAATTGCACTCATGGGTATTTATTCTAGAGAAATGAAAATTTGCATTTGATTAAAAACTTGTACACCAATGTTTATAGCAACTTGCAATAGTCAAACAGAAAAAATGTATCCAGGTGGTTGAACAAATGTGATACTTCCATGCCACGGAAAATTACTCGGATGAACTACTGATACAGAAACAACTCAGATGAATATTGGGGTGATAATCCTGAGTGAAGAAAAGCCAATCTTGAAGGTTCACATTGTGTAATTCTTTATATAACATTCTTGAAAAGACAAATTTCTGGAAATAAGATTAGTGGTTTCCAGGGGTTAGGGATGGGGAGGGAATGGAGATGGGCATTGCTATAAAACTGCCTGAGGAGAAATTCTTGTGATAGAAAGGTTGTTGACTGCATCAAGGTCAATATTCCGATTGTGCTGTTGTACATGGTTTTGTGAAGGTGTCACCACTGGAGGAAAGTGTGTAAAGTATATGCCAGATCTCTTACAACTGTCTTACAACTGAATAGGAATCTACAATTATTTCAAAATTAAAAAGTTAATGAAAAGAATCAGTACATAGCCAGGCATGGTGGTGTGCACCTGTAATCCCAGCTACTCAGGAGTCTGAAGCAGGAGGATCACAAGTTTAAGGATAGCCTGGGAAACTTAGGAAATCCCTGTCTTAAAATAAAATTTAAAAGGTGGGGGATATAGCTCAATGGTAGAGTTCTTGCCTAGCATGTGTGAGGCTCTGGTTTCAAATCACAGTATTGCAAAAAAAACCCCACAAAAAACCAAAACGGAAATCAATCAGTGATAGACTATTTGATTTTTTCATTTGTGATAAGAACCCAAGGCCTGTCGGGGTGTAACAAGTGGGCACACTTGGTGGGTAAGTGGGGGTCAGATAAAGATACTTATGATTTCTTTACTCAATTTTTCTTTTGGCTGAAAAGCACTGACTTTTGGGATGCTTGCAACTGTTAAAATTTTAAATTGTTTCCCTTCTTAGTCATATATGTTTGATTGTGCCCACAATAGACTGGGTTTAAAGACTAGAAACATATGGAACCTGATGATGAAATACAAGATAATTAAAAGCAAAAAATGGCAAGTCTACAATTCTGGTTCAAAATTACCTTCACCAATCTGTAAATTGTATTCATCTGATAAAAACCTTTACATAGAATATCAAGATGTCTTTGGTACTTCGAGAACAGTGTTAAAAAAAAGAAAATAGGGTGACAATTATATCCAATTTGGCTTTTCACTGTTGAGAATAAAGGCTCTATCCACACGGTGGATAACACACAACGTGTTATTTGCAGAGTGCTTGTAAATAGTGGCATGAAATTTTTCCCCTCCCATCATTTATAAATAAAACATAGAAATTGTAAAAATAAATCAGTAGTGTTTTTAAGCATAAATTTTAAGAATTTTAGAGATCAATTCTTAGTAGACAGTTTTGGCTTATAACTAATGCTGTCTCAACTCTTTATGGTATGCACTCAGTCCCTAAACTATATATGACATAAATTTTAGTGTATCTGCTAGAAAATTATGGGGTTTTTTCATAGAATTTAATTTACAAATCAAAATTTGTGTATTTGTTGCTAAATGAGGTAAAATAAACTTTATAAGGACTTATAACAAATATTACTGATTGCATTAAAGCAAACTTTAGACAACAGCATTTAATATGTTGATATAATTTGCCTAAAGCTATAAATCACTCCTTTGTCATATACTACATCAAAATGGCAAAACTATTTTAAAATTTTTCTGAGCAGGGTTGCAGTGAAAGGCGTTTGCAAGTCACATATGGCTAGGCAATGCTGATGTGTGTGCATGAATTTGTCAGCTCTAAAGCAGCCTGTTCAAGTCGGTTGTCACGTGCCCACTGTCTTTATCTTGTGCAATCAGGAAACAAGAGAGTCTCAGTTAATTACAGTCTTCATAACTGAAAATTGGCATCATCTCAGCATTGGGTTGAAGTCCGGACTTCCACCTTTGACTGGCGTGGAGTTCTTCCGCAAATGAAGTACACAGCGCATCCTGACAGGCAAAGTATGAAATGATGTCAGAAAAATAATGCTTGCCTCCCATATTGTGTTTCTGAAGCCAATCAAATCAGATTTTAAAAAAAAAATTTGGCTTCTTTTTCATCTGGTATATTTTTAATTGAGGTAGAAAACTAAGTGTTGTAAAAAATAAGGGAAAAGGAAGCCTTAAGTCAGAACAGCTTCAGAGCTGGTTATTTCAGTGGCTCGTTAAGGACTTCAGTTCTTTTCTTTCCTTGTTCTTCCATCTTCCATGGGTCAACCAAGCTGTTTCCAAGATCACCTGTTGGTGGCCATGGTCTAGAGGTCCTTTGTAGTTTATGACAATATCAAGAGGGAAACCAGGCTCCATTTCCTATTGGGCATCTGTTTACTCTCCCAGTGGACTTCCCCATTTCCTTGGTAGAACTCAGGCTCCTGCTTACCACTTAGCAAGCTACTGGCAAAAGCTCCATGGTTGGCTCAGACCGTGCTGAAGGTGAGGCCCCTACACAGAATTGATGCTGCATAGGCAGCAAAAAAGAGAGAAATGTATTTTGAATATGCAGCCATCAGAGTCTCCTATAGCCTCCACGATGACATGCTTGGTTTTCATCTTGTATGACAAGGACAATTAAGGGCAATTAAGTGAATACACCAATAGGTTCAGAACAGGAGGTTCTCCCAGTACCTGTTTGTAGGACTCGAACTTTGGATATGTGTTGGCTGCCCACTCATATCCGCAATGTGTGACTGATACCGAGTTACCATAGCGAGGATGAGGCTAGGTTCTCTGTTGAATCCCAGCTCTGCCGTTTGCTGGCCAAACTGCCTGAGGTGAGCTGTGTGACTTCTTTCAGCTTGATTTATAAGAATGGGGATTTTCCAGAATGACAGGAATAGGTGAAGCAATACGTGAAACACAAGCACTGTGTCCACTGCATAGTTAGCAATCAGGAAGTGCTAGGTGCTGGTTTGGTGGCATCAGTGATGACAATGGGGTAGACATGGCTTTGTGCCTCTCCACAGCTGGCATTTCCTGCTTCCACTCTTGCCACTGGCCGCTACTCCCTCTCCTGAGTCTACCTTTATACACCAGCCACAGTGCTATGTTTTTAAAAATATATAATGATGTTGCCATCCTCTGGTTGAAAATCCTCCAGTGGCTCCCATGACACCTAAAATCGGATCTCCAGTCGTACTTTTATTTATTTATTTTTAATTTCAGACAGGTTCTCACTAGGTCACCAGATTCCCAGGCTGAGTTTGAACTTGTGATCTTCTGCTTCAGTCTCCCAGAGTGCTGGGATTACAGAGTGGTGGGATTACCGCCGTGCCTGGCTCGTGTTTCCCTTCTGAGTAAATGCACTGGCTCCTCCTCCTTTCCTCTTGCCAGGCTCCTGTCATCCCCCTGTCTTCAACAGGATATGATACTTTGTGGCTTGGAGGCGCGGGCTTTTCATCTCAAATTCTGCCTTGTGTACATTGACTTCTTAGAGTGGCAGAGCTTTATTTCCTCCTAGCTCTACTGCCTTTCTTAGGTCCCTTGCACCATCAGTCTAGCCCTTGGGAGTTTGATGGAACTTTTGTCTCTGAATTAATACCACAGACAAAGGTTTCATTGTTCATCTCCCTCCACTTTTACCATTCACAACTCCCTTTCCATCATTGTCTTCTCATTTATCCCAACTTCTTCATCAAAATTCCTACTTTACACCACTTTTTCATTGCTTTGAAAAATTCCCCCAATCACAGTTATCTCTTGAACAAATATCTTACCTGTGTCTAGGGTGACTACTGTTCTCCCCAAATCAAAGTTCGAAACAATTATTTCTGAGTAGGATTTTAGGGCTAGGATTTTGAATTTATTGCCTGTACTTCCTGAATTTCTGCAGGATTCAGTGAATCATCATTTAAGAAATCAGCATTAATAGTAGACTTAGGGGAAACCTTTAACATCATGGCTTTTTAAAACTCAGAGTAGCCCTATAGAAATGCCAGCATAATAAAGGCATGAACTTTCGGGGAAAAAAAAAACAATCTTAGGGGTTCATTTAGTGTAAGCGCCTCCCACTCCACTGGTCCACAACTTGCACATGAGAGGGGAAGACACAAAACCCCGAAAGGGAGTGAGTCATCCATGCTCATGGAGCCGAAGGTGGGCATGGGCAGGTCAGGGGTCTAGTCCTGGTGCCTCCTGGCCAGGGAGCTCCCAGGCATGAGGCTGCATCTTCAATAATGGTATGGCTTGGATTGAAAATTTATAAAGACTTTTTTTTGCAGATATTAATTTATGCCAGACAAGCAAGACTGCTTCCTACCTTTTCCCACCTTCTCACGTGACTTCCCAGTCTGGCTCCCAGTGACCATTTCTGAGAACTGTCTGACCAGTCTATGGTGGCCACCCCGGTGTGACCAGACCTTGGCTTGTGATGGGGACACTTCTGGTTGAATCTGGAGGAAGTGCCTTGTTTCCACCCAATCCCCATGGCAATATGACATTTTTGGCTGTCTTGCAACTGTAATCTTAAATGACCTATCGGAGTCACACATTTTTTTTTTTTAGCAGTTTTTGTCATAGAGCCATGGTTTTGATAAGAACAGAGATACAAAAAATATTTAAAACTTTATATAAAAGTACTGGGGATGTTTAAGCTTCTGGATCTTGTAGAAATGGATTAATAACTGTCTTTTGTGTGTCTCTCAATCTGAATGGCTGAACAGTAGTTTAGGTTAAGGCTAAGGACACTCATCTGAACGTTGTTCCTAGTTCCACCATTCCAAACTTACTGAACTCTGTGAAATTCAAAATTTAATTTTTTTCTTTTTCACCAAGCATCTTAGTTGGCTACCGAGAAGCAGTGTGCTTGCAAGGTCTGAAACACAGTTTCAGGCAAATTCTGAATTTTTCTGTGTGAAATCTATCCTATTTTCCAGTGTGGGCTGTATTATTAAAGCAAGAATTGCCCAGGGAAGTAAAATCCAGAGCAGTTCAAGGAGGTGTCAGAGTGTACTGGCCTCTGAGGCTGCTTCCCTGGAGGCTGGTTTTATTTCGTCATTCACACTTCACCTTTTTTATTCCAAGGTGACTTTTAATTCCGCTCTTACTTTATGCACAGTAGTCACAACAGCTCACTTCAGTTGTTAGTGTCATCTCCAAGGGATAGGCCGTACATCTGGTTCACAGAGCTACCTTCTCCTTCTTCATCGGGAAGCTTGAAAAAGCCTGGTGCTGCCTGCTGTGTGAATAGAGCTGTTTCAGATCCAGGTCATTCTACAGACCCTGACTTACATGTGACCTTGAGTTATGAAAAAGCAAAACAGAACACACACTACCCAATGCCCGGCCTCAATTATGTAATACGGCCACTAGGCTAACTCGGGAACATGGGTGCTCAGAGCTGAGAGCAGAAGTCTGCTCTCCATTCCCCTCCACATCTGAGCGAGTGTGGATCCCCGCTTCTGAGCAGTGGGGCTCCCTCTCCACCACATTCCCAAACTTCTCTGGTTCCCCTTTCCAGTCTCCTTTCCTTTTCCCACTAGGGAGAGTGCCATCCCTCCCCAAATGCAGCTGCAGAGAATCTGGCCTCCAGCCAGCCTCAGAGATCCAGTCACGGAGGCCTCAGTGGTAATTTATGATCTCATGCTGGCCAAGGCCCAGGGGCACCAAGGATGGGGTAGCCTTTGTCTTTCCAAGCACAAATCATGGTTTCCGCATGGGAAGTCACAGCAGATGAGGACCTGGAAGTCACCCAGGTCTTGTCCAGACCCTCATTTTACCAGTGGCCCAGCTGGGCAGTGGTAGAGGGAGGGCTGCATCCCAGCTGGAAGATCTGTATGAAGTCAGGGCCGTGCTGGCCCATTCACACACTGCTTGGTCCCCTGCAACTCACACAGTGGCTGGCAAAGAGGTGGGGCTCAGCAGAAGGAAAGAGCAAGTGTAACACCCCTCCGTCCATGTCCTCTATTACTCTTCCCCTTCTCTTTACATTTAACCGGATCCTCACAAAACCCTCTTTCCCTCCTGCAGGCCAGGAGAGATACCAGACATGGGGACAACTCACTGCTCCCCTCAGCCATGAAGTTCTCTGGCACCGAAAACCAGAGCAGGAGGCCGACCCTCAGAAGGGCTCCCTGTCCCGGCCTGGCCTGGCCTGGAAGGCCACTCCTTCCCAAGTGTGACGCCAGGATGGGGCTACAGTATGCTCATGGACGTGCTGGGGGCTGGCCGGTACAAAGATGTTTCCAATTTCTTTGGGCACCAGGACTGCTCTTAAAAGCTGTGACTGTTGAAGAGAGATCCAGGCTTGGGAATGGTGTCAGGACAGGGACAATGTCTTGTTTCAGGGATGAAAAGCCTCTTGTCTCAGCTTAGCAGGGAAGGCAAATGTCACCTGGGACTGCCCCCTTGTGCTTGGGATCTTGTGAGCTGCTGCAGTTGAGAGAGGACAGATTCAGGAGAGAGAAATAAAAAACTTTGCTCTCTCACGGGTTGTTGGCTCTCCACAGAGCGGGGGTGTCACCAGACTGAACCCAAGGACAGCGTCTTTGGTCCGGGGTACGGGCGGCTCTGGGCTCCACAGGCAATGGCTGCGGGTTGAGACTACTCCTACTCGTGCAGCTTGAACACGCAACCTGGCAAACCTTCCCGGGAAGGAGCTGACGAGAGGAGCAGGGTGTGGGAGGGGAACCGGTCCGCGAGCCGAGGCGGAGAGCGCCTCCGGCCCCGCCCTTGCAGGCCGAAGCTGCCCCGCGTGAGCCGAGCCCCGAGCCCCGCGTGCGCGCCCTGCTGCTCCGCGCACCTGCCTCGGGCGCCGCGCGGTTGGACCCGCGGGCGGGCGGCGCGCACAGGTGGCGGCGATTGGGCAGGCGGGGCCCGGGGGTGACGTCACGGGCTCCGGTCCCGGCGGCAGAAATAGGGCAGCCGCGGCGACGGCGGCAGAGCAGCGGCTCCGAGAGCTGGAGCCTCCCCGGCCTCCCGCGCGCCCGAGCCCGGCTGCAGCCCGAGAGACCGATCGAAGGGCGCGG